TGATTAATTCAAATTCAATTGTAGAATACAAGTTTGTTTCATTTGAATATATATAAATTGACAAAGTATGATTAGGAAATAAATTGTAGAGCAGCTTTACAAGTCCAAAGTCGCCTGTACATTTAATATTTATGATCATGAGATCAAAAATTGCCTAGAGGACCATACACATCAATCAAAACATATTCATTTTTTTTGCCTTCTTAACCTGTGCATTTCAAGTGTACATAACCTGGGCATTTCAACTTTCAAGTGTACATAACCTGGGCATTTCAACTTTCAAGTGTACATAACCTGTGCATTTCAAGTGTGCAATTCAAATTCATAATAACATGGGCAACTTCCTAAAAAATAAGCATTGCATTCAAAGTTCAAAGTTCAACCTAGACAATTCAAAGTTCAACCTGGGCAATTAAAATAAGCTAGGCAATTCACAACAACCTGGGGCAACTTCAACATAATTCATTTTTATTGATTCCAGTAGGCAATGCAAAAAACAAGCTGGGCATCCAAAGTTCAATGTTCTAGTGGGCAATGCAAAAACATAATTCATTACAGTCATCCAAAGTTGAAGTTGAAAATCATCCAAAGTTTAAAAAAAAAAAAAAATACAGTCATCCAAAAAGAAGCAAAAAAGTCATTAATTTGCTTGAGCCAAACCATGAGCCATCTAAACCTGCATAACAAAAAAATGAAATTATTTAATAAGGAAAACACTAAAAAGTCTTAAACTTAAAACAAATAAACATATGTTAACAACATTTAGCAAAGGGGAGGGGTATTTTACCATGATATTAAACTTCAATAAAATTAGGTTCGGGACTTGGGCTTGAACAAGAACTTGGTTCTGAAACAACTATACATAAAACATAACACAAGAAAAACATGTGAAGTGAAAATAATGAATTTTGAATAATACAAAATAAATGAAATTTAAAACAAAATAAATCATTGAATGTATTACCCGAATCATATTGTTGTTCAAATTCTTCAATATCATTCATTACTTGTCGAAGGCATATTGGAATGTTACTTCGGAGCCAATTTTGTGCACAAACAAGAACCTCCACCATCTTTGGAGCAAGTGAACTCCGAAATGGATCAAGTATACCACCTCCTGTACTAAAAGCCGACTCAGAAGCAACAGTGGAAACAAGCATTGCCAACACATCTCGTGCTATGAGTGATAATACTCTATACTTTGCTGCATTAACCTTCCACCACTCCAAGATGTCAAATTGAGCATTCTTCTCACCTTTCTCAATATCACCCAAGTACTTGTCCAATTCCGACATACTCCCACTACTAGAAAATTGCCCCTCAAAAAATGAGTTAAATTGAGAGTTCACAAGAGAATGTGGGTCATTTTCATCTATCACCATATCTATTGTTTCATATACATTGGAGGCATGCACATTTGTTGAATTAAGCGTGGCATAATGATCATACAATTTACTCAAACAATTTTTCACCTTCTCTAACATTTCTTTCACTTTCACAACATCTCCACCAAAAATTGTTGAAAAACAAAATAGCAAGTATGTCATTTTTCTTCGAAGGTCAAGAACAACCGCAATGTACAAAAAGAGATTGATTTTATCCACATTTTCCCAATACTTGTCAAACTTCTCTTTCATTTTCTTTGCCATTGAAGACAAAATAGGATCATTGTCTTTGATTAATTGTCCAATCATATTTTCAATGACAAAATTTTTAGTGTAGAATGTATTTGAAGTAACAAATAAAGAGCCAGAAAATATCTTTGTTGCATTGTAGGACATTCTAAGAAATTTCAAAAACACCCTACAATTATCCCAATCCTCGGCAGTAGGCATCTCTCTTCTCTCACCCCCTTCATTATCCAAAAAGTAGTGTTCATAATTGTAGTCTTTCTCACCCATTCTTTGAAAAGCACTTTCAAATTTTTCTGCCACCTCCAACATAAGATATGTAGAATTCCACCGTGTTGGCACATCTAGGCACAAGAGACTCTTACTCTTAATTTTCAAACTTTCCACATACTTTTTAAAAGAGCCAAGGCAGTTTAGAGAAGACCTCACATACCTCATTGCATGCCTCACATTCGCTATACAAGACTCAAGTTCCTTCAATCCATCACTAACAATGAGATTTAGAATATACGCACAACAACGCATATGCAAAAATTCATGGCCCAAGACAGTTCCCTTCCACAATTTTGTGGTTCGTTTCAAGAATCTAATGGTTAGATTATTGGAATTCGCATTATCAACAGTTAAGGTGAAAAGGCCATCAATGTCCCACTCTTTTAAGAGTGCCTTAATTTTTTTACCAAGTGTTTCTCCTTTGTGGTCTTCAACTTGACAAAAATTTATGATTTTCTTTTGTAACTTCCAATCATCATCAATGAAATGTGCAGTTAGACACATATAACACAAATTTTATATGAAAGTCCATGTGTCTGTGGTAAAGCAAATTCTACACCCCTTCACAATTTTCTTCAACCTTTCTCTTTCATTAGTGTATATGTCTACAATGTCCCTAGCAACAGTATATCAAGATGGGATCTTGAACTTGGGTTACATGACATTACAAAACCTCTTAAAACCAACCCCATCCACAAATCTAAAGGGCAATTCATCAATTAATATCATCTCGGCAAGATGCCTCCTAGCAACTTCTATGGAAAAATGGCGTAACTACAACATCAACAACACCCTCACCATCACTGTCAACTTCTCTAGGTTGAAATCCCAATGTTTGTTGCCCATGAGTGTCCCTATATGGATACTTTGTACAATTTTTTAAATAACTTAACAAATTGCTTGTTCCGTGACTCTTAGAGCCTGCCATATATTCTTTCTTACAATACTTGCATATAGCCCTATCTTTCCCATCAATACCCTTAATCTTTTCAAAATGATCCCAAGCCTTTGATGTTGTTCTCCCACTACTACAAGTTTTGGCCAAGGGTGGTCTATGAGGGGGAGCTTTAGATTGGGTAGAGGGGTCAATAGAAGATGATTCGGGCTCAACATTAGGACTCACAAAAAAAGTTCCTTCACTTGGAGGATCCATGACCAAAAGATTATCAAATAAACTGCCAACAACCAATAAAAAATCATTCAAAATATGCTTTTCAAATCCATGCTCTTTTCGAAAAACAACCATCAGACTCTGTCTATGTTTGAACATGTTAAATGGCATATGAAGATAAAAGAAGGACATTAAATGGACAGAGTTTAATGTTCACTGACTAATGAGATTAGTTTAAACTAAGTAAGATGAATCAGTAAGTTTAAACTGACTAATGTTCACTAAGTAAGATTAATTCACTGACTAATGAGATTTTAAACTAAGATGAATCAGTGAGTTTAAACTAACTAATGTTCACTAAGTAAGATTAGTTCACTGACTAATGTTCACTGACTAATGAGATTAGTTTAAATGTTCACTAATATATTATGAATCAAATTTTACAGAATAGAACAGAACTAAGTTTAATGTTCACAGCTCACTAATATATTATGAATCAAAGTTTAATCTTTAAAAAAATTTAGTTCACTGACTAAATTACAGAACAGAACTAATATATTATCATAATTTGATTCATAATAATAATAGATTAAAGTTTAATCTTTAAACAAACTAAGTAATAAATTATCATAATTTGATTCATAATAACAAATTTAGTTCACTGACTAATATATTATCATAATTTGTTATCTGATAATAACAAAATAGATTGTTCAAAACAGAAGATGAATCAAAACAGATTAGGCTTTAAAAGATTAGACTCAAAACAGATTCCAGATTGTGAACAGATTAAAATAGATTTTGAATCAAAACAAATTCTATGAAGTCCCTCACAAAATCCACTGCAGAAGCAAATAACAAAAAAATAAACCAAACCTCTCTGTGGTTTTCTCTCTGTGTTCCTTTCTTTATGTGTAGAACCCTTAACAGTTAACACTGTGTCAATCAATCTAACCACGTCTCTAGTTTTAGAACTGGAACAAAACAAAATAATAATAATAATAGATTAGACTCTAAAAGATTACAAGTTTAGAACTGGAACCAAATAATAATAAAAAAAAACCAGTCAAGAAGAAGAAGGATAGAGAGAGAGAGAGAGGTATCTCAGTTACAGTCAGTGTAGTAGACTGTAGATCGATCAATCTAAACCATCTATTTCGTTTTAGAACTGGAACAAAAAAAAAAAAAAGATTAGACTCAGATCAGAAGAAGAGAAGAAAAGAGAAATAGAGGAAAGCAGAAGAAGATGAGAAGAAGAGGAAAGCAGAGAGAGAGAGAGAGATACCTCAGTCAGTAGTGTAGATCGATCGCCGACGCCGTGTAGATAATCGCCGACGTCGGGTAGATCGTTCGACGATGGGTAGGGTAGAGAGAGAGAGAGAGAATGAGAATGTCGAAAATTAGGACAAAATGAGTTATGCATATCAGAAACAGAAAGGAAAAAGGGGGAAAATGAGGCACATATCAGCCAAAAATAAATAAATAAATAACCAATGGTGGTCGGGTTGGGTCTGCTGACTAAAATGGTGGATTACCCGCCACCCGACCCGAACCAAAAAAATGTCAAAAACTAGGCCCGCACTTGCCCGCCACGTGGCATGCATCCATCCGTTGCTGGTCGGGTTGGGTTGGTCGGGTGTGGCAGGTCGGTGGATCCGCTGCACAGCCCTAACTACAATGATGGCAGTGGTTTGATGACCGGTGTTGGGAGTAAAGCCAAAAGTAGTGAAATTAAGGTTATGATTTTGAAAACTAGAGTTAGAGATGAGGGTATAAATAAAATTTTATCTTCAGACAAAATTAAAATTAAAAAAAATGAAAGAGATTGAGGTCCAACCCTCTAAAATAAAAATAAAAGTTCTAAAGTAAAAAAATAAGAACATTTATCAACCCTCTCTAAAAACAGATATTAATATAATGGCAGATATTAATGTCATGAAGATGAAGGGCTTAGCCGTTAGGATTACGCCAACTCCTCGTTCGCTCTCCTTTCCTTTCCCCCTACCGATCGATCGCCAACGCTCATTCCTTCCTTCCTAGAGAGAGAAACCAAAAACCAAAAAAAAAAAAAAAAACTGCTTATAAATGAGGCACACCACGACTCTCCTCTCCCCACTTTGTCTCTTTGCTCAGATCTGATTTCCCTCCCATTCTCTCCCTCTCTGATTCACATTCGAACAAGCTTCCTCTTTTCAAGGTGAGCCTCAGATCTTCTTCTCACTAATCTGTAATTGTCTCTGATCTGTTGACAATCTCTTTTGCATTCTCTGTTCCCTCACATTAGCCTCAGGTACTTCAATTTTTTTTTTTCAATTTCAAGCTAGTGCTTATTAAAATGTTCTTTAATTCGCTTTGATCTGATAGTTATTACATTGATCTCTGTTGAATTTCATTTTCTGGTTTTTCCTGAATCAGATCTCGTGCAATTTTGATGATTTATTGGCTTTTATACAATCATTTGCGAATTGGACTTCTTTTCTTTTCGAGTTTGACATCTTTGTATATCATATATCTCTGAAATTTTGATCTCTATATTGTCTTGGATATATGGACTGTCCGTTTTCTAATCCAATATATTAACAGTTGATCTCTATATTTTGTTTTGGTGGTCCTAACATGTGGTTTGATAAGAGTTCATTGTGTTCTTGGGACGTTGTGAAATCATGCCCATTTGTTATCGTCAATAGTTTTTTAAAGGGTGTCAATGACCATATTTTAATTCTTCTTCAGTTATTTGGTTAATACTACTATCATCTTTCATGTTCAATGCTATATAAATTACTTTGGAATATGGTAAGTTGGGTTTTCCTTTTTAGAAGCAATTTTGACTAGTGAATAAAATGGCCTACTCGAGGGGAATAGCCTTGTAATTCTCCTAACACTGTGCTTGGTTGAAGGATTTAGGGAGAGATTTGGAAAGGGAAAGAAAAAAAAGTAAGTGAAATGTAAATAAAATATACCTCTATTTCACATAGTTTCATACACCTTTCCCCTTTCCTTTTCCAAATCACTTTCTAAATCTCCCAACCAAACACAACATAAGAGAATCCAAGTTAGATTTAAAGTTTCCCCATCTATTCCATGAAACAATAAAATATTTACGTACATGGGATGTATTTAGGATATAATTTGTTTATTTGGCTTGTCTTTTGGGCTTCGGAAGATTCAATCAGCAACACACAATACACATTTCCACTTTTACATTACAACACCCATAATACCATGAGAAGTTATTTGGTAGGTTTAGCACACCACATGGTCGTGCACTCGCCTAATTTTAGGGGGATGTCTCAGGACCACCTTGCCTGAGCAAGCACACCATGTGCCCTATAGATCGGACATATGAGATAATTTCTCAAATCCCACACATTACTAGGTGCTATTTGATAAAATTGGAATAGAAAAAAGTATTGAAAATTGAATGTTGGATTTTTTAATATGAAAAGTTGTTGGTATGTACAAAAACGTAAGTCTTGAATTTAATCAAGTTGTTTGGTATCCGGAAAATGATGTTTGAAATTTAATAATTATATCTTTTTCTTTTTCTTTCACTTTTTATATTGTGTTGTTGGGTGGCAATGGTTGCGGTGTGATGGTGAATGGTCGTGATTGTGCTTTGGGTGGGAAAAGGTGGTGGTGGTGGGGTGGTGAAGTGGGCGCTTGTAATGGAGTGATAGTCGTGTCAGGCGATAGTGGTGTTATAGCAACTGTTAGTGGTGGTGGCAACGATGATATTGGAGTGATGGTGATGACAATAATAATGGAGTGAGCTGTTGGCAATGATATTGGAGTGGAGGTGGTTGTGGGGTTGTAAAGTGGGCATGGTGGTGGTGTGGGGGTGGTGATGGTGTGAAGGTGGTGGTGGTGGTGGTAATGTTGTGGATAGTGGTACTTGAGTGGTGTGGCAACAAAAATGATGTTGGGTGGTGGTGGTTGCATGTTAACGGTAGCTGTCGGAGTGGTGGTTGTATGGTGATTGTTGCAATGTTAGGTTGAGGTGATTATGTGGTGGTGGTTGTAGTAATGATATTAGTGGTGAAGATGGAGGGGTGGTGGTGGCGACAGTGATGGTGTTGATAATAGAGTGACAATGGTGTTGGTGATAATAGAGTGTCAATGGTAGTGGTGATACACCTTAACGATGGCATAAACACAAGCAATGATACACCTTAACGATGGCATAAACACAAGCAGTAGAAAATTCAACATTCTAACATTCACCATTAAGCGAAAAGTTTGTATCTTAAAATTTTAGCCTATATTTAAGAGGTGTACTAAAATTTTGAATGATATGAATTATGACTTAATTTATTTTGAGTTAATACATTCAGTTTAAAGTACTGAATTGGGTTATCAAACATCTCCTAACTACCTATTAAAAATATTTATACATATTAAATTGCATGTATAGCCCCCCTTAAATCAACCTTGTTCGCAAGGTTGATGTCTTGAGATTCACCTACATCATCACAATGTGGACCATCCAAAAGAAACAATGTTTAGACTTTGCATCTATGACCAGGATGAAACTTTGTATCACAATTGTATCAAAGGCCTGGTTCCATTCTTTGCCTCACATGAAGCTTTTCAATGATTTTGACATCTGTTTATGTTGGACAACAGTTTCTTTTTGAGATGTTTTTGTACTCCAAAGATGTAGCATGGCTTTTTTGTTTGTTGCTACTTTCGGTAAAAACACAAAACAAACTTCAAAAGTGCATCAATTAGTCCCTAAATGAATGTCTGATCTTTCATTTATCGCATTTAATCTTAATGCTTGGTTGTTGTCACAGAAAATATTTTACAATTTAGCTGGCACTCATGGGGACTGCCGTTGACACTGCAAAGGTATTTGGCCCCCCTTTTCTCCCTTTTTCACATTAATGTCTAGTAAGTTCTTTGGAAAATTTGTTTCAACACAAGCTGACAGTATGTTATGCAACTAAATTATAATCATGTGCTTCAAACTTTGATCAAGACCTGAATATGAAAGCAGATTGAGTACTTTACTTCTGTCCTCATCATAGAACATGAAGTGTGATGTTCTCAGTATTCTTGGCCACGGTCAATGAACCAGACTATATTAGCTCTACCAGCATATGTAATACTTTCGTAAAGTTGTTATTAAAGAAGTTTTACTACTGATCAAGCTGTAAGCTAACATTAAAATATGTGGTGTTAGTATTTCTCTATCTAAAAGGCACTAGAATATCACTGATCTTGGCCACCAAGTTTATCTAGACAATCCCTCTAGCCATGGATGCTTTTCTTACAAGTGACTCTAAATACTAATACATGTGTGTAGATGCATACACCCTTTTTTTTCTTCTTTTTGACAATTAGTGTGATCAGATTGCACACATATTTGATCCTGAGTTGGAATCTGATAAATATACCTGACTGCAGGAAGTAAATGGAAGCTCACTTAATGAAAAGAAGGTTACAGTTGTTTTTGTATTGGGTGAGTGCATTGGTTTCTGTTACTAATCTTTAATTCTTCTACAACTAAGCATGGTTTATAGAATCTTTGCCTGAACAGTTGCTGCCATATCTAATTGTTGAAGCTTAATCTGTACTACACCATATTAGTTGACCTCCACAAGTTACCTTGTCCAGTTACTGCTATTCTTAATTGTCGAAGCTTAATCCGTAATACATCATATTAATTGACAACTCAAAAAATTGTTTATTCCATATATTTAAGTTATTTAGATGGCATGCAGCAGTTAATTTTTTTTTTTTAATTTTTCAATTTTTTTTAATTGAAAGTTTAAAAAATCTATGATAAGTATATTATTTGGATTGGAAGTAGAACTTTCTAGTGGTTTACTACCCTTTTGCCTTTTTGAGTAAGCTGTATAGATAATCTGGCTAGGTTGTATTTGTTGTTTCCATGAACATTCGTAGTTGGAACTTATACAAACATATAATCAGAAAAAAATGTTTAATTGTAATGAAGAACAAATAATTTGAACTTGGTTCATTTCAAGTAACAGTTCCATGATGATGTATTATGGAATTTTTTTCTCTGATCAATGAGTATGTAGCATGGACACCTCTCTGGAGGTCATGTACAATTTTGATCGAAAAATGATGTGGTGATTTTGTTTTTGAAAATTTGAGTCCAATTGAATGGGTCTGGGTCTTTTATTTTGACATTATGAAACCACAATGAGCCACATCCTATGGGATAATTTTTGTTTGAATAGCGTTACTTTTTCCCCCCTTTCTCCCTAGCGAGCCTTTTTGTTAGGGTGTTCTTTCCTTGTCTGTTTTCTTTTCTTGAGGATTTAGTGGCATTTTTGACTTCTGAGTTTATTTGCTGATTCTTTGCCCCCACCCTCATTAAATTGAACAGGTGGCCCAGGCAGTGGAAAGGGCACTCAGTGTGCAAATATTGTAGAACACTTTGGGTACACCCATCTGAGTGCTGGTGATCTTCTCCGAGCAGAAATAAAATCCGGTTCTGAAAATGGGTAAGTCTCTTTAAAAGGATTACTTGGCTAGGGATGCTTAATGGCCATCCAAGCTTCTATCTTTAGTGTTATTTGCCTTTTCTCTTTTGGTTTAAAAACTGTTCCACTAAACGGTTTGTTTTTTATTAAACTATTTAAATAGTTTAACAGGTTTATTCCAACAGTTTTATAACTGTTACGCCTTCGTGGTCTTAGCAACGGTCAAACCAACTATTCAAACAGATAAGTTTGAATAGTGGTTGCACCGGTTCAACTTAATGGTGCACCTTTTCACTTCAACTTTCCAGATGTCATCTTGAGTGCAATCTTTCATTGTCCTTCAATTTTGGAAGTTGAGGAGTTGCCCATAAAGAGTTGTTCACCATTGTCCACTGTAGAATAAGATGTGAACATCTTTTTGTCGGCACAAATATGGCGAGTAGCACCAGTGTCCACCCACCATTCTTTAGGATTTCCGACAAGATTAGCCTCGGAAACAACTGCAGAAAGATTGATGTCATCGACACCATTGGAAATATTGTCCACTTTGGTCATATGGGCTTGAGCAGGCTTCTTGCTTGTTCTTCTTTTGCTTTTGCCTTTACTACGACAATCTTTGGCCCGATGTCTCTTTTTGTCACAAATGTAACATTTTTCATTAAACTTGTACTTTTTATTTTCCCTCCCTTTAGAGCCTTGTGATGAACTTTCTCCATAAGACTTTCGTTTTTTGATTTTTGAAGCATGTTCCACCACATTTGCCTTAGACTCCATAGGATGCTTACCAGCCCGCTTTTCAGAATTGCGGTTGCCCTCCTCAATCCTCAAACGCACAATTAATTCTTCCATAGAAATTTCTTTGCGTTTGTGTTTGAGGTAGTTCTTGAATTCCTTCCAGCCTTTTGGTAATTTTTCAATTAAGACTGCAACTTGGGAGGATTCACTGAGAGACATGCTTTCAGCGTGAATGTCATGCAGAATGAGTTGGAAATCTTGAGCTTAGTTGATAACAGTTTTTGAATCAACCATTACAAAATCTAGGAATCTGCCAACCACAAATTTCTTTGAGCCGGCATCTTCCGTTTTGTACTTTTTCTCCAACGATTCCCAAAGTTCCTTTGCTGCTCTGATTGGACTGTAGACGTTGTATAATGTGTTGTCAAGTCCATTTAAGATGTAATTCCGACAAAGGAAATCGGCATGTTTCCTGGCATTAACCGCAACAACCACTTGCCGGTCGGTTTCATCATCTTTCAAGATAGGAGCATCTTCACGGAGGAAACGAGCCAGGTTCAGAGTTGTAAGATAGAATAACATTTTCTGTTGCCATCTTTTAAAGTCAGTTCCTGAGAACTTCTCTGGCTTCTCTCCATGATTTATTGGTACTGTCACCACAGTAGTACTTGTTTGGAAATTAGTTTCAGTAGCCATCAATTCTAATTTATAAAACAAAATTATAATTAGAATTTACACTATACAGAAAATTAAACCAAATTCACATAATTAAATTTTGAAAAAATAAAAGAAACAAGAATGTAACTTTTATTTTCCAATTAATTTGGAAATAAAATAAAATTTTATTCAACCAAATTAATTCCACACAGAAAATTAATTTCTATAACACTTCAATAATTAAAATACTAAAACAGAATTTTAAGTAATGAAAACTCAGAAAATAATTTCTAAAACCCAAAATTAATTTCTGAAAAAATTTCACAAAAATATGTTCTGAATTGTTAATGAGACCAGTATCGTACTACTAGTTGTCAAAGAAAATAGACAGTATATTACTACTATCTGTCAGATAGCACATAACCACTATTTGTTTTTTCAACCAGAATATTATTTTGTAAATCCACAGAAAATAATTTTCTTAAAAGAAAGAGAAAAGGAAAAACGAAAAAATTCTGGAAACAGAATAAATTCGAATCTGTCTTAAGATTGTTGGATCAATCTTCTGTGTAAATAAAATAAATTGAAACAATTCAAACAAAATGAAATAAAACTTATAGTATTTATTTTGTAGAATCGAATTAATAATTCAAAGACCAAGTCGAGTGTGTGACACTTTGTCCTTAAGACAGATTCGCCCCGCTACGGTGCTTACGGTTGAGTGGCGTCTATCTCCCAAGATACAATGATCTTAACCAATTTGTAGTAACACTCCAAAATAAATTGTTCGGCGAGCCAGACCCGTGTTCTAACTTTCTGATTATTTAATCTAATACTGATATATGAAGAATAAATGCACTAGAGCAAAATCTGGACAGCAAAGGCACTATTAAGAGACTGATTTTCAGATCTACTGGACTGCTGAAAATAGATTGTATTTATAGACAAACATTAGACCTCGAACAGGTTCCAAAGTTGAAGTGAAAAGGTGCACTATTAAGTTGAACAGGTGCAACCACTATTCAAACTTATCTGTTTGAATAGCTGGTTTGATCGTTGCTAAGACCACATTTTCAAACAAATTGAAAAAGATTCCGAAGGCGTAACAGTTATAAAACTGTTGGAATAAACTTATTAAACTATTTAAATAGTTTAATAAAAAACAAACCGTTTAGTGGAACAGTTTTTTTTTTCCCAAACAATTGGAATACTTATATTAAACTATTTGAATAGTTTAATCATTTTTAGGAAATCACTTTAGGAAACCAAAAATAAATTTATATTTAAATTAAATTCCCACAATAATTTTTATTGAAAAAATTCAAATGAACTGTGTCTAAAAAATTAATGTTAAACCCGAAACTGACGTCAATTTCTCATTCACTCATAAATGGTTTTGACGTTCCGTCTTCACCGTGTGACTTGCCACGCAGCAAGGAACACGTCACCTCTTCGGACCCACCCCAAAAGACATTCGGGGCCCACTCTATTTTGGCCTCAAAGACGGCCCAAAATAAGCCTAAAAACCAATTTTTCCAACAATCCCCCACATAGGTAGCTTTTGGCTTTGAACCTTCCCTTGTGAGACACTATCGGATTTACTAGCTAACCAGTGAACATGATGTCTTGAACTGTTCAGCCGTTTGTGTAAACCAAGACAATAGAACTCATAGAGTATATTTCCAGACACAGTTTAGTTCTCACTATTGTGTTCATTTTGGCCCTGAACAACCTGGTCTTTCATGAATGCTCTAAAGACTTGTAGCCCTTCACAAATCTTATAGAACCGGCCCAGTTCACACTCACATAGGTGATTCTTATGAAGAGTATCCTGTCATACTCCACTAGGTTTACCTAGATATAAGAATCATTAAAATTTTACTTAACCTCAAACACTGCAGACATCACTATTTCATCAAAGAAATGGGTAGGAGTTAGACTCCCCAGTGATCCTTCTAAGTCATACACAACTCGGTTGTCCCTTTGAACCTAGATCTTGGGATCTCCAGTCAACTAGGTTGGGTTGCCGTTGTGGTAACTCTTATTTAATAGGCGTAAGTCCCATTCCCCTTGATGAATTCTCAACTAACTCTCTTGCTAACCCTTTGGTTAGTGGATCCGCTATGTTGTCTTTAGACTTAACATATTCTATGGAAATAATTCCATTAGAGAGTAGTTGTCTAATGGTGTTATGTCGACGACGAATGTGTCGTGACTTACCGTTATACATATGACTCTGTGCTCTACCTATAGCTGATTGACTATCACAATGTATGCATATAGCAGGCACCGATTTTGGCCATATTGGAATATCTTCAAGGAAGTGGCGAAGCCATTCTGCCTCTTCCCCAGCTTTGTCTAAAGCTATGAATTCAGATTCCATAGTAGACCTAGCAATGCAAGTCTGTTTGGAGGATTTCCAAGATACAGCTGCCCCACCAAGAGTAAAGACATACCCACTAGTGGACTTCGAGTCTCTAGTGTCCGATATCCAATTTGCATTACAGTATCCTTCAAGTACTGCTGGATATCTAGTATAATTAAGCTTAATGTTACGAGTAAATCGGAGATATCTTAGAACCCTTATAATTGCTTTCCAGTGTTCTACTTCCGGATTACTCGTATATCTACTTAATTTACTTACTGCATAAGCTATATCTGGGCGAGTGCAGTTCATCAGGTACATTAAGCTTCCAATAATTTGGACATATTCTAATTGAGAAAAACTTTCCTGTACATTCTTAGAAAGATACAAATTAATATCTGCAGGAGTTCTAGCAAGATGATCATCATCTTTGCTGAATTTGTTAAGTATTTTCTCAATGTAATGAGATTGTGACAAAGCATATCCTTCTGATGTTTTGGTAATTTTCATACCAAGAATTACATCAGCAATGCTCATGTCCTTCATGTCAAAATTTTATTCAACATTTTTTGATAGTTTTAATCATGTCATTATTACTACCTATGATGAGCATATCATCTACATAAAGACATACAATGACATAACCTTTGTCTGTGTTTTTAATATAAACACATTTGTCACACTCATTAATTTTAAATCCATTTGACATCATTGCCTTGTCAAATTTCTCATGCCACTGCTTTGGCGCTTGTTTTAAACCATATAATGATTTAACCAATTTACAACTTGAGGCCTTTAAGCTGGATGTGCCATTTTTCTTCGAGGTTGTCTTTTTTTCTTTCATCCATTTATGCCTTTATGCAAGTTTTTGTTAAAAAAAAAGGTTCAGGGCTTTAAATATCGTCCGTTACGTATCATATTGGCCGTTACATGAATGGTTTTTGGCCTTCTGATACCATTATTCATTGATATATCGGCAGATACTGTCTGTTACTCTCTGATATCGGCCGATATATGACTGCGTCACCAATGCTGTTACATATCCCCATACCGTTATTTAAAACCATGCCTTTGTTACAGTATGTTCCTATAAGGCTTGTCCACTGATTACATGTGCCAATGGGTTAGTGTCTTTCTTTTTGGTTGACTTCTGACCAAGTACACATCCCATATTGGACAAGTTATTTACTTCATTTTTGTTTGATCTACTGACCCAAATCTCATTCTTTCTTCTAGTGTTTGGGACTATTACTGTATTGGGTTGTAATAGTTAAATAAATTTTAGTTCTTTTATGCCACCACTTGATTCTTAAAACTCGGTTTTCTAACATTTTATAGGACCATGATTCAGAACATGATTAAGGAAGGAAAAATTGTACCTTCAGAGGTAACAATTAAGCTTCTTCAACGAGCTATGCAGGAAAATGCTAATGACAAATTTCTGATTGATGGCTTTCCTCGTAATGAGGAAAACCGTGCCGCATTTGAGTCTGTTGTAAGTCCCTAGTACAACATCTTATTCAAAATAGTTGCAAATTCAAACTTATGGACTGGGATAGCCAGCTAAGAATAGCCCGTCCATTGTTACTTGCATCATTCAAAATTCTACTCCAGAATATGTTGTGCTAATTGCCATACTCTGATTTTATGCAGACCGGAATTGTGCCAGAATTTGTACTCTTTTTTGATTGCTCAGAAGAAGAGATGGAGAAGCGCCTTTTGGGTCGGAACCAGGTTAGACAAATATAATTGATTCTTGCCTGAAGGTTTCTTATGTTATTTCTGTTTCTTTTACCATTTTGGTTTTAATCTTCTTTCCTGGAAAATTGAAGGGAAGAGAAGATGATAACATCGCTACAATAAGGAAGCGGTTTAATGTTTACATGGAATCTAGTCTCCCCGTGATTCAGTATTATGACTCTAAGGGGAAGGTCAGAAAGGTAATATTTTTTTAAAAAATAAATAAATTACCATTAATGATTTTTTGTGCTCCTTTCTGACAGTGTTATTGCCTTTTATTGAAATCACTGATTTTGCTTCCATTGTCAGATTGATGCAGTAAAGCCTGTTGAAGAGGTTTTTGAAGCTGTGAAAGCAGTTTTCATCCCATCGCATGAGAAGGTAAAGCACCATTGTAACATTCCATGGAGTTTTAATCAGTTTAGAGCCTGTTGGTTTCTATGGAGAATAAAATCTGGGCAAGGGGTGCCTCAATGATATAGGATAAGGGGTTTATTTTCCTGATAATAGATAGCTACATATGCTTCTATAAATTAATTTTGGAGTTAAATGCTTAATGTTGTGTATTCAGCAACGGAGTATTAGTAAAATGTTTTTGCATTTTTTAGAACTAGTCTTATATTATCGATCGTGCTTTGGCATTGTCGTTATGGGCTTATAACAAGAAAACATGCTTTAGTCAGTGTCCTCCACCACTGTTAACATGGTGAAAAATAAAGGATATGAAGGATTATCAACTGCAGCCAATAATTGGGACTTGAAGTAATTCAAAACTGTTAGAGGATGAATTTAGTAGAATTCGACAATGAACTTATGTTATGTTTGGGAGATTAGGAAATTTAAAATAACCTGCGACACTTCTAGATTTAAGGTAGTTAGATTGATATTGAAGTAATTCAAAGTAAACTATTATTACTGCATTTTACAATTTCATGATCTTTTTAAATATTTGCACCAGAAATGGAAAAGAGCGGCTTGGCCCAACCGTAATTTTAACATCCCTGGTGGCCTAGGTTTTGAGTCACAAAAACAACCTCTCCAGAAATGGGGGTAAGGATGTATATACATTTTGCCCTCTCCAGTCGTTTTAGAGGGAGCCTCATGCACTGGGTCACCCTCTTAACCAATCCACTTGATTGGGACACAAGACTTAATTTGGTTTGGTTTGGTTGCACTAGCAATCATATCAAGCGGGATCACTATTATCTCGACAAAACCTTCATTTGAGGTGTAAAGAATTCTTTGGTCAAGTAGCACCAGGCTTTCTCCATATTGGAATTGGCACTTGCAGGAATTTCATCTGCTGCATATGCTGATTTTCAGTTAGCAGGAGCCTATTTGATGTGTGATCGAGTGCGGATACACTTTTAGTGAACCCAACTTGGATGTATAGCAGCTGAAAAGTAGGTTTTTGGGTTGCTGGTTTTCATTGGGTTTTGTGGCTGAATGGCTAGTAAAAAATTAGGATTTTTTAAAGGATTTATATGGGGTAGCAAATGCCAAGGATATGAGAATAAAAATATGAGGTTTTAGGGACTTAATAGGCACTACGAGTGGTATCGGTGAACAACCATCTTGCTGGTTTTGTGATCTTTTGCAATCCAGGGTTGATTAATTGACGATGTGTGTTGAACAGGGGTTAATATACAGATATGGTTTTGTGGTTTCAGAGGCTAAAAATGCATAAAAATAAAGAGAATTAAAAAAACTAGGCATCACATCTAGATTTTCGAAGGCATCATACATGGGGCTAGAATTGCATCACATAATTCACATGTGAGCTTCAAAAGCTTCGTCAAGTTCTCTGAAACTCATCCACAGGTTTTGGAAACATTAGAGAGCTCCTACTCCGAATAGGATTTTGACTTTCTACTTAGAAACTAAAGACTCTTCCACTTCAGAAACCTGTCTAAACCTAAATAAGACCCATACACAAAAACTCTTTTACGTGATTTAAACCATATGATGACTCGAGTACAACCAGTGTCTTGAAATATTTCAAATTACCAAAATGCCCCTACCCTACAAAACACTAGAAACGTATGGGAAACTGATCCAGATTAACATCTTCCTTGAAAGAAAGCATGCCAACTTCAAATATTTCCACGTATTTAAATTTAATTTTCATTGAGCTTCTTATAGTTTGCATTATATTAACAAGGACTTCATTTCTTTCTTGTATATCAGGAAATGACTAGATATTTCTTTGTAGGCATGCCATGATTGTTAACTTCAATAATTATGTCAGGAATAAATTCTTGTAGATTCATGCTCAAATGATTGATCAGCCATTTCAACATCTGCCTAAAAATATTACACTAAATCTTATACAACATGCTTTGTTGGTGTGTTTTGCAGACTGCCTAGTTGTTGCAACTCTACCCAAGATATTGAACCAGATCTAATTTGAGGTAAACAAATTGATCAATACCTCTGTGAATTAGGTTAATTGTTGGAAACTCTGAATTGTTTGGAAGTAATTTCTCTTGCACTTGTGAGGATTATTATTATTGAAATTTTGAACAGAAGTACTAGCTTTTCTTGATTTCATTCAAAATGCATATGTTTCAGTTACATTTCCAAACATTTTACTATAGCTGTGAAACTTCACTAGCTAGTGGCAACAAACAAATGCTTGATTTCAACAGTTGTTTATGAAATGATTAAGATTTTAAAATACTTTATCAAAATTGCTCCAATGGCAGTTTGAAGACCCTCTTGGATTATTTGTAAACCATAATTCAAAAAAAGCTTCATCATTTTTAATATTTAGAAATTCCTTAGAGGCTGTACTGTTATGGATTATGAAGGGCCCTTTTATTTTCAAGATTTTCCTTTTGTTGTATTTATAAATCTTCATTGCTTCCAACCTAATTTCTTTCTTTTTCCCCCCCTCAGGTGGTTATATTTTTTTGGCTGCATATTATTGTACAACATGCACCATTTGTGGTCTCATGTTGTTATACCATAGATGAAGTTTATTATCACTATTATTATTGTGTGGTTAAACAAAAGGTTATAGTTAATGTGTTGAGGTATTTTCCTCTTTAAATCTTGTTATTGCAATTACATTTTTAATAAGAAGACAATAATTGAAATTAGTAGTTATATAATGCTCTCTCTCTCTCTCTCTCTCTCTCTCTCTCTCTCTGGCTGTGAGGATATGAGTTAAATAATGCCAGGTGCACAAAACTTCCAAACTTAGAGATCTCTGTAGTTATTCCAATGCAAGCATCTGAAAGAGAATTTGTAAAATTTCTTTTTACGAGTTGAAAACAGGTTTATATACTTTGGAGGATGAGTGAGATTTTTTGTTTTAAATTTCTGTCCTCTTATTTTAATATACATGCATCGTTGGATTATGTGTTGAGATTTTCATATTGAGATTTTTACATGCATCAATAATTGCCAAGAGTTTTTTAAAACACGAGGACCGAACAAATTTAATATACTAACATCTGTGTGATCTAATTTTCATCCCTAAGCAGATCTTGATATAAAAATTTGCTTCTTCAATCCCTCATAATGCAGAAGGATCGGCACATCTATGGTATTCTTGCCATCATGCAATACACAATTTCTCCGTAACCCAAATTATAAATTATATGAAATGCAAGGGTGTTAAGTGCAATTAACCCTAATGCTAACGGACAAATATTTGAGGGGCTATAAAACCAATTTCACAAGAATAGCATTGCCAGCTGGGACCTTTTTACCCTAGCTATGTCACAAATACAAAAGGTCAATCTCTTGGAAACAAGAGTGGAAGAAGCAAGTTCCTAGCATTTTTACAGTATGTACCAATTGAACAAGATTGTATATCTACAAGATATAAAAGGCCAAAGAGGACAGAGAAAGAGTTTGACTTCTCTCCTGTTTGAGTATAAAATGGATAGTCTAGTTGGAGCTTTTAAATTGTGTCACATGGACACTTTCTAAAAATTATAAGATTTAAATTTGTCTATCCACTCACAAACCTAATATTGAACAGACAAAATCTAAACCATCAATTCACAAAGAGAAAATTAAGAAGGCACGAGCATCTCTCTCTCCCTCTCTCACACACATACATCTACAACACTTAAGCTAGAATAATAAAGAAAGTAATACCTTGCCAAGGAAAAAAGATGAAGCAATTAACAGGAAAAGACCAAAAACTAAAGAAAAATTTAAACAAATATAATGCCATTCTCCTTAATGGTATCAATAACAATTCCAAGTTTCCCTTCAATTCTCTCATTCTTCTTTGGCTCATAAGCCATTGCAAATACATCGGCTTCCTTCGATCGCTCAGCAATCAGCTTCCCTACAACTCTGCAGGCATTGACATCAGTGAGCGAAGGCAATGTGTTCCTGAGATCCTTGGCATTTGTAGTTGCAACTGATATCACTTTGCTGGTTCCCCGATGCATCACTTTGGCATGGATGAATCGCTTTGAAAAGAAAACGTTTAGTAGAAATGGTCTCATATACATATCTGTCCTCTGTTTCCATGATTTCCGGTTAGGTCTTTTTGCAGCTTCACCTCGAGACCTTCGTGTCCAGGCTGCTTGAACAATAAATTCCTGCAACATAAAATTTTTCTTACTTGATTGAATTGAAACTATCTTGACTGAAACAAACATCGATTGACAAACCATTCGTGATTGAAAGTTTGGTTCGCTATGTTGAGACCACGAGTCTGCTTAAAAATTGATGTCTAATTATTCAGAAAATGGGTGTAAGCACAAAATTGAACAATCTAGTGTATGTTAACTGTGACACGCAACACCGATACAGACATGCCGACATGCAAGTTTTTAAAAAATGCAAAACATGCTTGGGACATGTTAAAATTATATATTTTTGCAAGGTTATTATATGTTACATATATGAATAATTTATTCAAAGATAATGAAAAATGTGTAACATAATAATTACATTTAAAAAGTTATATATTTCATAATTTGAACATTAAAATATCATTCATGTAATAATTACATACGGAAGAATGCAAAATAATTATAGAATATTGTAATATACAAGTTTCAAAACATATTAAGAGCGCATAAGTTGTGTACTGAAGAATGCGTAATATTGTTATTATGAAGAACATTATCACATAAGACGTGTTCGGAGGGTTCAAGAAGTGTTGCCTAAATGTCCGTAAAGTGTCGATTAAGTGTCTGATATTATGAATTTCATTTTTTAATCAAGACATGGTGAAGAAATGTCGGGCACAACACATTTCCTCTGCTGAAGTGTCTGTGCTTCTTAGAGTTGACCACAAGAACGAGGGATGGGACAAGGAACACAGTCAAAGTAATTTCCAGGAAGAGTACTGGCTTCTAATTGCCATTAGAATATAGCAATTTGATTGAACATCATGTGCAGACCATCTACGCAATTTCGTTGGAGGTTTTCATAAATGTGGTAGTGATATCTTAAAAATGGTGGCTGCTCCTTGCTCAGCGGCAAGAATTTAAGAGGGAAAAAGTAGGAATCTTGTGCAATTTAAATGGAAATCATGTATATGGTCAATTAAAAAAGTTGCATGAAAAACAAGACCTCACCTGTAGTGGCCCAACTGAAATGAAATTCAAGTGTAACTTCAAAGAAGCAAACATTTTGCCAAGGCAAAAGCACAATTTGAAGGCAAAAGGGAAGCTCAAGTGTAACTTCAAGTATATAATTCTTTAAAACCTAAAACAAGGCTATTTTTAAGTTTTTACGAAGAAGAAACACAAGGAATTATTGATTGTTTCATACAGAAAATTGAATGAAATGATTTTAATGTAACTGGTAAAAGAAAGCCAACATAAATAAATTATTGATTAGAGAATGCAGACCTCAAAGGGAACATTCTTATAAGCTCTTCCTCCAAAAAAAAAATGATTTTTCCCACTATGTCAATAAATTTGAGATGTTAATATTTTCTAGGTTTGACTATTTATCTTCAAGAGGCTCAATTTTGATTGCACATGCATCCCTACAAATATCCAGGTTTGATCATTCACTTATTGGCTTTTGGTGAAAAAGAAAAGGAATATATGCGGAAAAAAGTTTATGACCCACCGAAGAATGAGGGCAAAGGTCATGAAACAGATCATTCTTAGAATCCTACATTACTAGTTTAGAAGATAGACTACATGCCATTTATCTCATTCCAAGCATCAAAGAGAGAATGGTTTTACTTCAATGCATTAAGCATTACAACTAAATCTGATCTAAAACATGGTTCCATAAAAGCATCAAGCATTTAATATCATATTTATTTTATCTCTGGATGTGCCTTAATTGAATTAGATACAAGTTCTATTCAAAACCAGTCAAATTCATCATGTCTGCTTGAATGAGTTAATGATTCATAACCAATTCATTCTGGTTTCCAACAAGCACAATTTTGAATTCAAATAAGATAGGCAAGTGCTAGATTCAGAAAAATTCGATAATTCTCAAACACAACTCTTATCAGTCCCTCATTCTGCACCAAATGTACCAAAACACATAAATAGTACCGAGATACTGCTGCCACTTATAAATTTTTTTATAGAGAAAATTACAATTCAGTGGTGTTTTCACAAAATAATTACAAATTCATGGAAAAGTTTAAGAGTTTAATTATTAATGTTCATAAAGTTTACCACTGATCTGAAATTATTTTTAAAAACCCACACTGAATTGTAATTGTTCCTTTTTTATATTTATCTCACTATTTTGCTGTGACTCGTAATGCCAAACTTAGATCAATATCACAATGTGTAAATATTAATGATTAAGATTGGTTAAACAAACTAGTGCCATATTATACAATAGAATCATTATATTTAAATATGAACCCATTATTGAAAATATTTTTGCAATCCAATGTCTGTCAAAAACAATTAAATTACAGTCCAATGACTTACACACAGATAAGAAACACTTTATAATATGAATTTCCAAATTGGGTTTGTATAATCTATTTTGAATTACATTTTAGGTTCTGTTCCAAATGAAGTAATGGGATTTCTATTACACACTGATTCAGACCATTTACAAATTATTCCAGAATCGCATATGCATACATAATTTCTAACAACATTGCAAAGTCATAGAAATGGGTTTTCCAGATAAATACTGATTTATCAAACCTAGTAAAAGAAGAATGATAAAGAGAGAGAATGAGGAAATGGGTAGTTTTTTTCCATACCTTGTTGAGTTTGGGGTTTGAAGGGTTTGAGAGTGAATTGATGGATAAATTGAGCTGAGGAAGAGAAGAAGACCATGAAATCGAAGTGGGTTTGGCTTGCCGATTTCCGAACAAATCAGAAGAGAGTTGAAATAGGAATGGTGGTGGTGAAGATATGCAGGCTGCCATCTCTGTTCTTGTGATGAGTTAAGAGAGAGAGAGAGAGAGAGAGAGAGAGAGAGAGAGCTAAATTGTTTTGCCATACCAGTGTGGAATCAAGATCTCCTTTTTGTATTTCCTACTTACAAGCCCATTTGGCCCATTTTAGAAGCTAATTTTGATAATTCGAACCGTTCATATTTTAAAATTTGTTCAGTATATCATACATGTAAAAAATTAAGTTGATCGAATATCAGAAAGCATGTGTTCGGAAAACTGTTTATTAAATTCTTTAAAAAAATGATTTTTAGTTTGAGTTTTTCGAACACATGTTTCCTGATATCCGATCAATTTAATTTTTTACAAGTATGATATACTGAACAAATTTTAAAATATCAACGGTTCAGATTATCAAATTGGGCCTAAAATGGGCCCAATAAACTTGTAAGTAAGAAATATATGGAAGAAATACAAGAAGAGAATGCGAGGAATCCTGATTCACCAGCGTGATACATCTCATAGGATTTTTTTTGTCCTCCTAAAGTTTTTATGCACTAATAAATTGTTTGGGAACGATAGATATTTTTGGTGAAACACCCTATCTAATTTTGGATGGCAGGAGAGATATAATATATATTTTTTTATTAATTAAAGTCACTTGATGACATTTTTCTATGATTATATCAACAACAAAAAAATTAAAAGTTTTCTATAATCATATTAAAGAAATTTTAAATTTTTTTTATGAAATCAGAGAAATTTTTTTATGAAAATTAAAATTTTTATATCGGACGAAATTTCTCTATGTCGATTTTTTTCTTTGAAAATGTTGAGGAATCCCAATTACTATGAAAATAAATGTCATTTATTTTATAAAATCTTAATATCAAAGATTTTAAAAAAATAATCTCATTTTTTAAACTTTTTATGAAAAGACATGTAAAAAAAGTAAAGAAAAACAATTGACAATTTATAGTAATTTTTTTGGACTAAAAATCTCTTTTCCCAAACAAAGCTTAAGATTGTTTAAGCTTGATTTTAAATTTAATAATTTTTAAAAGTGTGTTTAAATATTACTTATTTACATTTTATACCAACTTTAGTCAAGTTGTTGAATTTTACTGGTGTATATAATTGAGTTGAATGGACTAATAATTGTTTAAACTTGATTTTAAAATGTATTTAATTTTAAAATATTTATATAATGAGTCAAATTCAAATAAGTTTTTAACAAATTGAATATGAATTATACTTGAATAATTTGATTCCTTTTACAATCCTTATTAGAGTTGTTTTTTTTTTTCTTTTTTTTTTTTTTCCGTTGGTGCTCAATAATGGGGGTGTTTAGTGTGAATTATAGAGGGTGATTATAACTTATTTTAATTTGGGAATCTGTACCAGACTGTTTGATACAGTTTCTGCTTACAATTTTTTAAGCAGAAATAGCTTAATTTAGTTGAGAAAAATTGATTATTTAGAAACTAAGAATGGGTGTTTTTGATTTCTGCTTTCTGATTATTAGCTTTTATCTTATAATAAGCTGTAAAAAGAGGGATAAAGAAGAATACGAAATTGAAGTAGATGGGGATCTATACATAGAGAGATTGTAATTAGAGAAATTTAGGCAAAACTTTTCCATTGAATCCTTATTTGGTGAAAAGAGTAGCTAAATTTATTTTACTTCATAAACCTCCTAAGGATAAAATACATAATTGAGTAAGAACAAAATAAAATATTTTCATTTTTTTTGTGTGGATAATATTGTCTGAGTAAAATGTTACTGTGAATGAGAGTAATACGTTACAGTCAAATACAGTAAGATGTTACTGTGAGATAGAGTAACATGTTACTGTCAAACAGAATAACATGTTATTATTATTGTTCACATCAATTTTGATGGTAATAATTTTTTTTTTAAAGTTTCATAATCAAGATGGATCCTATTTGATAAATCTTGATGAGAGAATTCTAAAAATAATTTTATTAAAAACTGGCATTTAAATCAAAAGTTATATTATTTTAAAGTTTGATATTTTAATAATAATGGTATGTGTTGAATTTTTTATTTTTATTTTTATTTTTTTTATACTTATACTTATTGCATTAAAATTTTATTATGAAAATTTTTTGATCAAATCTGAAGTTGTGGTTATGCAAGAGGGAAAAGAAAAAAATAAGATAAGATTTGAGAATGATGGAATTTCGCCAACACGGGCAGAGAAAGTGAAGACGATGGTAGATTTGATGCACAAAATTAGGTACTTTAATTTCAAATTAAAAAAAAACATTGAACCAAGGACCTTAAACATTAAAATCAATTGTAATGTCCTTCTCTAAGGATAATTTTTTTTAGGGACACCAAATTTCTAAAAAAACAACTGACACAATATGAGTAAACAATCTTTTTAATTGTCGGAATATAATGTGTATGGCTAAAATGATTTTGTGATTCGTTTTAGATCCTTAAAGCCACACCATGTTTGGCTTGTTTTGGTAAATTGGTTAAAAATTGATTTATTATTTTTTTTTTTAAAAAACGTGTAAAAAAGTAAAGAGATAATGTGACACAAAATAAGTTAAAAACTGACTTTTGACTTTTAGCCATCTTTTCAAAAGAGGCCTTAGTTTATATATATATATATATATATGAATATGGGTTATCCAATTGGTTCATAACTGACACCATTGTATGTCATAACTGAACATTTCTAGATTCATTATTAGAAACAATCACAATAACTCATAATTAAACACAACTACAAATTCAAAAATAATTTATCCGCCAAATTAGAGTTTGCCAGACTTGTCTAAATTTGTGTATCGCGGTTATCACTCTTGCGATTGTCACCCTTACTGCTGAATGATTGGTCGGATGACTGGCATGCACAAATTTGAGCAATTAAAACAAGCTAAAATTCAATACATGTAGCATTACTCTTATAAATTATAACTAAAAACTGTTGGAAATGGTTATAAAATTCTGGATAAAACCAAAATTTTTTCCTAAGTTCGGTCTATTTTTTAGGTGGGCCCCGAGTGTCGATTTACTCGGGTCAAAGTGGTAACGCGTTCTATGCCGCGTTGTGATTCACGTGGTATATTTGGTTGCTCAAAACCATTACCGAGTGAATGGGAAATTGAAGCCAAAGTGTGCACCATGGTTCATACTATTGGTCCACTAACTTGAGTAAAGTTTCACTTTGATATTCGTAGTTTTAATTTGAATAATTTGAACCTTACATTTTTAATTTTGTTACAATGTGATCTTTTTGTTATGTGTTATCAATATTTTCAAAGGAGAAACACTACATGCAAAACTAAGGTGACCAAAGTGGTATTCAAAAGAAACTATAAGGATCACTGGTGTAATTTATTAATTATATTGGTGATCCTTATACTTTGTTTGAATTTCATTTTAGCCTCCGTTTGGGAAGTGGGCTGGCTTTTTGGCCTTTTGGCTTTTTTAGCGATTTTAGCCTGGGACTAAAAAACCTGATTTGAGAATGACTTTTTGACTTTTTTAATTTTTTAACTTTTTAGTGATGTGTCTTCATGGTAAATTATCAAACTACCCTTCACATAATTAATACATCTGAAAGATTGGTTCTGCTCCTCCACGTCAGTTGATGGCGTGGACCACAATTGATTTGATTTTTTTCTTTTTTTTTTCTTTTCTTTCTTTGTTGGGTTTGGATATGGCCTTTTTTTTATGTTTTTATTTATTTATTTATTTTGTCAATTTTTTTTTATACATTAATTAGTTCTTGTTCTTTAATTTATGTTATTTTTCTTTTTTATTTTTATTTGTATACAATAACTTTTTTTTGTTTTTCAAAAATGAGTTTTCATGTGTTTTATTTATTTCTAAATTAGGTATGTATGACATGTATTTTTGTTACGTATTTTTTGATATACGTCATATATTTTTGGGAGAAATGTTATTAATTTTTTGGTTGAGCTATGAAATTTTTTAGTTCATAAATGAAATTACATATTTTTATGGTAGTGTTATGCATTATTATGATAAGTAACACATTTTCTGATTAAAAAAAATTTCGATAAAAAAATAGGTAACATCAATACAAAAATGCCTAACATTATCATAAAATATTAATTTTATTTTTGAACCACAAATTGGTGCAACTCTGTCATGAAATTACATAACATTTGTTACAAAAATACATAATATATCCCGTAAAAATGTATACACTATAGCATATAAGAATTTTAGAAATCAAATTTTTTGACCCCTATATATAAAAATTCTGCACAACAATCAGAAACATTCAAAAAACTTTACATATGAGAGAATGGGTGGGCATGAGCTAGCAGAGGCGGCTCAAAATAGTTTGAAACCTACAGAGACAATATCAAATGAAGTATTGATATTTTTTTCAATTGCTGTAAATTTTTATTTAATACTTCATTTGATATTTTTTTAAATTGCTGTAAATTGTTATTTAATTATTTTTAATAATTCGGAGACACAAAATTAATAATTTAATTTTTATAATAATTTTTTCTAACATATCATATTTAATTCATAGTATAACTGATACACTTACTCACCCTTGTGAAATATTTGATCTTAGGTAGAGTTTTTTTAATTTTGAATTTTTTTTCTTTTATGTAGAAATAACAATTGCATGCATTGCTAATTAACAATATTTTGCAAGTAATGCATGCGTTTGAAATCAAATTTAATACTTTTATATAATTTATTACATCAATTAGAGATTTTTTTTAAATTTTATTTATTTATTTTTTTAAGTTTTAATATGATAAATAAAATACTAATTTTTTCCCAATAAAAAAAAATGGAGCATTTTTCTCTAACTCTAAAATATCTTTTAAAACTTTTAAATTAAAAAAAAAAATCATTAGTATGAGAAAATTGTCATGTTTTAGATTATTTTTGATATTAATATAATATTTTTTAAACTATCAAGTCTAACAATGTATTGCAACTTATTGTTTCTCATTAATTTGTAAATTTTTGTGTGTTTTATTTATGTATTATTAGGATTTTTTTGAATAAGTTGTAACCAAACATCTTATTATTTTGTGTGATTCAGGTGGTGGAAGAATCTTTGTCTGGT